GGCAGAAGGAGGAAAATTTTCATCTCCAAATTAGAAGTTGAGGGGGTCAACCTTATCCCATCAAAATGAGATTGTTGGGGCTTTCATGTGTCATTTTAAATCTATCTTTACAAGTCCCCTCAGTGAGAGGGTATAGATTGAAGGTTTGGAATGGCCAAGGTTAAGGGTAGAGGATAGGGAGTGGTTGGAGAGAAGGTTTGAGTTGGAAGAAGTAAAAGAAGCGGTGCTTTCTATGGATAGATCAAAAGCATCAGGTCTAGATGGTTTTACAATGGCTTTTTATCAAGATTGTTGGGAGATTTTGAAGGAGGACTTGATGTCAGTGTTCAAAGAGTTTCACAGAAGAGGAGTGATTAACCCAAGACTGAACTCTACTTTCTTAGATTTGATTCCCAAGAAGAAAGAAGCTAATCGCTCAAGAGGCTATAGACCAATCAACTTGGTGAATAGTTTGTACAAGATTATTGCGAAGGTGTCGTCTCTAAGGATTAGACAAGTGCTCCCTTCTATTATAGCTCACAACCAAGGAGCTTTGTGAGGGGAAGGCAGATAACTGATTTGATTCTTATAGCTAATGAGAGTGTGGAGGATCTTAAGAAATCAGGAAAAAGGGGTTGATCTGCAAATTGGATCTTGAAAAAGCTTATGACCTGGTAGATTGGTCCTTTTTGCTAGAGGTAATGATAAGCTTTGGGTTTGGAGATAGATGGTGCAAATGGGTGCTGGGGTGTGTTAGGACCTGCCACTATTCGGTTCTAGTTAATGGGACATTGGTAGTTTTTTTCCAGTTTCAAGAGGTATAAGACAAGGAGACCCCCTTTCTCCTTTCTTGTTTACTTTGATTCTGGAGGCTCTGGGGAGTTTGATCTCTAGAGCAGATTCTAGGAATTTAATAAGAGAGTGGAGGGTAGGCAAGGAGGACATACCCCTTACTCACTTGTAATTTGCAGATGATACAATTTTATTCTATGAAGGGATCGGAATTGGGTTAGGAATTTGAAGCTTGTTATACAACTTTTTGAGCGATTGTCTAATTTGAAAGTTAACTTTGAGAAAAGTTGTATAGTGGGAGTTAATATTGGAGGAAAGGGAGATACTTGAATATGCAAACATTATGGAGTGTGCAGTGTCTAATTGGCCTCTGAATTACCTAGGTTCACCTCTAGGGGACAATCCTCATAAAAGAAGCTTTTGGAACCCAGTAGTGGAGAGAGTTGAGAAGAGACTTTCCTCTTGGAAGAAGAATTACTTATCTCTTGGAGGAAGAATCACCCTAATCAGGTCTACACTTGCTAACTTGCCTGTTTATTATCTATCAGTTTTCAAGATCCCAACTGTAATAGCTAGTAAGTTGGAAAAGCTAATGAGAGACTTTCTATGGGAACCGAGGGAGGAGAAAAAGGACCATAGGGTTGGGTCTTGGGTGGGAGGTAGTGAGTAGAGGTAAGAAATATGGTGGTCTTGGCATTGGGAATATCAGGAAGAGGAACTTGGCTCTCTTAGGGAAGTGGTTGTGGAGATTCCCCATTGAGAAAGAGAAATTGTGTGCTAAGATCATCGCTAGTATCCATGGGCTTGTGGATAATGGTTGGGATGCTAGGATTCTGGCTAGGAGCACAAGAGCTTCACCTTGGAAAGCAATTCAGGCTGTCTGCCTCTGTTCTCTCCTTGGATTAGGTATGATTTACATTTATGTAACATCATCAAATTTTGGGAGCAGGTTTGGGTTGGAAATTCCCCTTTGAAAGACCAATTTCCAACTTTATTTGCTATCTCTGCTTTTAAAAATGAACCTATTTCCACTTTTCTTGTACCTTCCAACTCGATTTCAGGCTTTGGGTGGAACTTGGGTTTAAGAAGAGCTATTAGAGACACAGAGTTGGACAATATTATGGCTCTCGTGGGCATCCTTAATGGGATTTGCCTAGACCTCTCACAGTTAGAATGTTAGATAGTAGAATTTGGACCCCATCTCCCTCAAGATCCTTCACTTGTGCCTCCTTTCTTAAGACACTTATTCAACCGGTTGACTTTTCTGGCTTGTCTTTCCCTGTTAAGGAAGTTTGGTGTCACCTATCCCTCCAAAGGTTGAGAGTTTCTGTTGGGAAGCGTTTTTGGAAAGAATCAACACAGGTGATTTGCTTCAATGAAAGAGACCTAATAGATGTTTATCTCCTCGTTGGTGTGCTCTCTATAAGGCTGATGGTGAGTCTGGTTGCCACTTATTAATTTCCTGTCAATTTGCAAAAGGTATTTGGGAATGGTTCACTTCTTCATTTGGGTGTAGTTGGAATCCCCCTCTGAATGTGCAAAACCTATTTACTTCTTCCTTCAGCTGGCCAACAAAAAGAGGAAAGGTTATGTGGAGATGTGTTTGGGCTGCTGTATGCTGGTCTATTTGGGAGGAAAGAAACTTAAGAATTTTTTTTTGATAAGGAGGGAAATCTAGAAAATGTCATAGAAGTAATCCACATACGTGCAATACATTGGATGAAATCTTTGCAGCTGTTCACAGACTTCTCAGTGGATGATCTGCTACGAAATTGGAAGTTGCGAAGTCAGTCCCATATAAGTTGACTTCAAGTCCATCATGGAATCCTCCCCCTCATGGCTTCATCAAACTGAATTTCGATGGTAGCAGTTTGGGAAACCCAGGGCCATCTGGCATTGGGGGGGTGTTAAGGAATGAACAAGGGAATATAATAGCCATGTTTTCTGGCCCAATTGGAGTGGGAGACTCCCTTAGGGCCGAGGTAATGGCAGTCATGGAAGGGGTAAAAAGAGCAAGGGGTGCCAACTCATTCTGAGATAGTAGTGGGCTGGTTAAAGGAAGACAAGATTGGGCTCTAGAACTACAACAATGAGAAGAGGAAGTTTAAGTGGCTGGCTAAGGATATTGATGTAAAGTGTATTTGGGTAAAGAAAAGTGCCAACTCATTTGCCGATGGATTAGCTAGGCAAGGGGTGCATAGGGATGCTGTTTTCTGGGCTCATTTGTAACTTTTTTCTCTCCTTGATTGCTTATTCTGAAACCTAGGGGAGCTAAGATGTTTTATCTCCCCTAATATGTATTCTAATCTTTTATTTTAATGAAATGCTTCCTGGATCAAGAAAAGAATGTAGTGGTGGGGTGGGGGGGGTGGGGGAATTCAGAGCGGTATCCTCATTTTCCTGGCTCGAAGATCAGCTAATAGATTGGCTTAACACAAGAGGTGAACAGGGCTTTATGGGGGATAGTTGTAAAAGAATTACTTAAATTAGGAAGGGGAAGGGCTGGGTTGTAATTTCTAGCCTCAACGTAGGAGATCTTGGTACAAGATGTGATAGTGATGATGATGATGAATGACCTAACATAATTCATCTTTGTACATTCAGCAAAAGCAAAATTACTGAACTACATTAGACCAAGGTTTAAAATGTCGATGGAAATGTTGCTTACCAAAATATAGGACATATGTCGGAAATGTC